ATAAGGTGAACTAGCTCAAGAGAGAGGCTAGAGTTTTCTAGGCAGCATTGCTACAGGGGCAAGGTCACCTAAGCCCTTCCGAGACCAGAAGTTTCTGTCCCAGTCCCCGGATGCTACCAACGGAGCTTTAGATTTTGGTGTTTCCATGTTGGGAATCAGTCCTGCCCTGTTGCTGTGCCCATCCTCTGGGGGTTTGAACGTTTGCTCTGGGCCAGTGTATGTTGGGAGTACAGTGTTCACAGTGAAGAGGCTGCCGGAGTCTCAGATGAGATTGTGCACTTAAACTTTTTAAAAAGGATGCATTTTTTTCATTTTTATTTATGTGTGCATGTGTGAATGAAGATACCCATGGAGGCCAGAAGAGGGTGTAGCTCCCTTGGAGCTAGAGTTACAAACTGTGAGCTGCCCAACATGGTTTGCTAGGATCTGAACTCCGCTAGGTCTTCTGGAAGAGCAACAATTGATTTTAACCAGCGCTTATACCTATGAACAGTATTAGAACTCTTAAGACAGTGGAAACTATTGAAGTTGGACTGAACACCTTTTGCCCTGTGAGATGCCATGAAACTATAAGAACAAGCAGGGGAGGGTTACAGCATAAAATGGATGGATGTGTTTGGGCATTAAGAGATGGTACTGTGACAGTTAGCTCTTGGTTATTCACTTGACAAGTTCCATAGACTCACCAAGAAACAAGCCTTTGGTTTCCATGGTGAGGGATTACCTAGATTAGGCTGACTGAGGTGGACTGATCTGTGCTAACTGTAGGCAGCGTTACTCCACATGCTGGAGTCCTAGATTGTGTAAAGTGGAGAAAGCAGGCGGAGCAAAGCTAAGCACAGGCATCCATCTCTGTTCCCAGCTGCAGATGCAGTGTCTAGCCAGCTCCTGTCCTGCCGTCATGCCTTCCTTACCATCATGGAGGATATTGCCCTTAACTCTAAGTCCTAATAAACCCTTCTTTCTTTAAATTGCTTCTTGTTGGGCATTTTGGGGCAGCAAGAAGAGAAATAAATGATACATCAGACACTGGCGAGGTCATGTTTCAGGTCTGAAACGAAGTATCTGAGGAATGACAGGGCCTTCTTTGTCTGTCTAGGGCTGAGGGGCGGTTTGGCAGGAGTTGCCACAAGGTCAATTGCTGCCACTGGGAACTCACAAATGCACATACAGGGCAACAAGCAACATGGCTGCAGCAGGCACTGGCAGGATGCTAGATGCTCATCCAAGTCTCCACGAAGCGAGCCACATATGTCCTGGGAACTGTGGTAGGAACTGAAGGCCTGCTAGACACAGGGAGATGAGAAGAAAGTACGCTTTCCTAAGTGGAAGAGGAAGCCCTCAGGCGGGTAAGCTGCTTCCACTTCTAGGAGCACACTGGCTAGACTATGAAGATGGCGACACAGTGAAGAGCCAGGGAGCAAACAAGATCGTTGCACACGCCACAGTTTAATTAGGCACCCAGCGCTGACACCCCAAGTAGAAACGACAGAGCAGTGCCAGTAGAGAGCAGACAGTGGCCTCCTTCTTTGTCAGAGTATGGTTGATTGATTGCCTTCCCAGGGCACTTAAACCATGGGAAAAGCTAGCATTATGAAGAGGCCTCAGGGGACACTACCTAGGCACAATGAGCTAGCCATCAACTCCAGATATTAAAAGGCAACATGTACATCTAAAAAGGGAGCATGCATGAGGTATTATGCAAAGCAGAAAGCTTTGTCTAGGCCACATAGCCTGAGTCCTGACAGAGGACAAACAGTCTAGAGCAGACACTGGGGTATAGGAGAGTTCACTCTGTTGTTTGGGAGGGGCACTGACCGACTTCAGAGGATGTAAAAGCAGACCATTTCACACCTAAATCCGACTGAGATGGCTCAGAGGCTAAAGGACGTTGATGTCAAGACTGACAATTTCAGTCGCATCCCCAGAACCCACATGGTAGAAGAACAGAACGACTCCTACAGGTAGTCCTCTCACCTCATGCCAATTAAACGCCTCAGCGTAAAACTACTTCTCACCCCAGACTAAAAGCTGAGGTGTGAACCTATAAAACACTGAAAATACTATGTGTGGAGAACTTTGTTAAACTGAAAAGAATATCCAGAGAGGAAACTGAATGCCTATTGCCACATAAAACAAACTCAGAACACCCTCCCAGAAGTCATAAATATGACCTGATGGTGGAGGCCTGCTCTTAACATTTCTGGGAATCGAATGCCCTTGTGGCTTGTCTGCTCTGGTCTTCTACACTGAGATAAAAGCCTTGTCAGGCATCAGTTCTGGAGCCTAGGATGGAGGCTCAAGCCCCTGAGGCATAGCTGTTGGGATGATTAGGGCTCTGTTGAGATGTGCTGGACTGTCACCTCAAGTAGAGACCAGGGCTTCTTTCAGCCAGCATGGTCTCTTGAGCACTTGCACAAAGTTAAACCAGAAACCCAGGAAACATGGAGTTTCTCTTGTGGACACCCGAATGCCCGAGAGACAGTTCCCATGGTGATGTTAGGCCTGATCTTCAAATGCCACTGCCAACAGGGCATCCCCAGAATCCCCTCCCAAAGCCAGCTCGCATTGGATAAGTGAGATGGGGCAGAATTCATCAGCAAATGTGTAGCTGCTAAGCCTGGCTTTCCTTTGTTTGTTAGGGACACAGGACTGTGTGGGGAGAGCCATCAGCATTACTACAGGCAGTAAGGAAGTCTTTGTCCTCACTATCAAACGGTTTCTAAGTCATCAACTCTCCTGTCTAAACACTTCTAAAACAAAGACAGGTGTTGGGCAGAAAAAGAAATCCCTGCCTAGCCAAAGTTCAGAACTGTGGCTGAGGTTCTGTGCACCTTGGATTAGACAAGGCTACAAACCAGAATTGAGGGGGACAGACTCTCTCTTGTCTATGTTATAAGCCTTGGATGCCAACAGAGCTAGGATACTCCCATGACCCTCTTTACTGAGGGTAAGTTTCTATTCTCTCATAACTGCTTGTTGAGGGCTCTGCTCTGCCTGGCGCTGTAATTTTTCCTCATGATAATGGCACTGAACCCAAGGCCTTGAACATGCTGGGCAAGGACTTTGTTACTGAACTATGCCCACAGCTTGTCTTGTGTTCATCCTCAGTGTATTATCTCCAACACACACACACACACACACACGAATAACTTTTTTCTCTTCCTTCCTTTTCATAAATTAAACCCTAATATAAAAGCTCTAATTTTAAAAAAATGTATAGAATGATTCCCCCCTCCCTCTATCTTTAAAAGGCAATCTCTTGCTATGTAGAACAGGCTGGCTTCAAATTCACAGTAATTCCTCTCAGTTTCCTAATGTCTGAGATTAGAAGCATACACAACCATGCCTAGACTGAACACATTTTTTAAATACAATGAAGGTGCTTTATTTTACTTACTTATGGAGCTATTTGTTTGTTTATTGATTGGTTGATTTAATGTGTTTGGATATTTTGCCTGTGTGTATGTATGCCTGTGCACTACTTGCATGCCTGAAGAGGCCAGAAGGTATAGGATCCTGTGGGACTGGAGCTAGCAATGGTTGTGAGCTGTCATGTGCAGGCACCGAGAACCAAACCGGGATCCTCTAAAAGAGAGGCTAGTATTCTTAAGTTCTGAGCCACCTCTGCAGCCCCACTATATATTTTTTAAATTAGTATTTTTTAAATTAATATTCTTTAAATTTTCATTTATATGTGTGTGTGTGTGTGTGTGTGTGTGTGTGTGCACGCATGTGCGTGTTACAGTGCATAGTGCATCTGCAGAGGTCGAAGGATAATTTAGGGAGTTTGCTTCTTTCTTTCCATCATCATGTGGGTCTCACAGATCAAACTCAGATTATCAGCCTTGGCAGCAAGAACCTTTACCCACTGAGCCACCCCAGGGGTCCTTTATTATTATTATTATTATTATTTTTTGACATTTGACTTTGACAAAATCTCATTATCTAGACCCAAGTTAAGCTAAAGTTTGAAATCCTCCTGCCTCTATTTCCTATTACCATGCCTGGCTGGGTGTACTTTTACTAAACAAAAGTAGGCGACAGGGTGTAGAATCACAGGAGAAAAGTGAGGTGCTCACTTATTTGTGCTTATCATGTGTCAGGCACTGAGTTTGAACCTGACAGTTCCCCAAAAGACAAATTAAGATCAGTAGCGCTGTTAAGTGAAATGGTGTCATGCTGTAAGATACAAACAAGTGGACTACTACACAGTCCTCAAGAGGATGACACAGTCTCCTTGGACTCATGAAACAAGATCTGCATTAAGAGAAGCAGTGAGCTGCAGAATAGAAGGCATGCTTTATTTCTAGTTTTTGTTTTGTTTTTTAAAGATATATGCATGTTCATTTGCAAACAGAAGATCTTGAGGGCTGGAGTTAGGGCTTAGTGGCAAGCACTTACAAAACTATCTGGCATCTCATTAACAGTGTGTTACTCTTGGGTCTAAAACCTGAGGCCAAAAGGCGATGGAGTTAAGACACTAAATATATATTTCAATGTTTGTACCAAGTAGGTCCTATATTTATAATAAAAAAATGATACTAAAGTAAGTGTGGATAAATAGAAGGAAGTGTCCTAGCTGTCAAAGATCTGAAGGCTTGTCCTGGCCTAACTGGTAAATGACCAGACCTTCCCACTACCACTTCCTGTTTGCTTGAGCCTTGCTTTCTCATCTGCTTAAACAGACGGCTGCTCTCCAGATAATGCTTCCTGCACATGAGCTGGCCCACTGGACCTATCCTGGAGGCCTAGAATTTTGCCTTCCTGAAACATTTGACCTACTTTCCTGTGGGCGGGAGGGACGTGCTGAGTCTGTTCATGAGGTGTCTAATACTCTGGAGGAATGTCACTTTATGTAGATTGCAGCTGGGATAACTTGAGATGACTAGGAAGGGGTCTGGGTGGAAGAAGGTGCTGATGTCCCGGTTGAATGCTGAGCCTACAGGACTCCTTCCTCCACCCATGACACCTCCTAATCAACACGATCTCACTCATACCTCAAGGGGCTGCCACTCGCCAAGGACAAACACATGCAGGCTCTTTATGTCCGGGTCCTTGTGGAAGATGTTGGGCTTGGCATGGTGCTGGAAATGTCGATGGTTCCACCAGTTGGCGGAGGCACCCTGTAAGGGGAGAGGAGTTAGGTGAGACATTAAGATCAGTGAGGCTCTAACACCAATAGCCAGCTTCCCCATCACACATGGGGTTCGTGCTTAGAGTCCCTGAAAATCAGACTATAACTCTGACACTTCTGAGCTCAGAATACTGCTCAGTTCTGAAAGAAATCAATTCACTTCTCCAGCCTCAATTTCCCCAGGACTTCAGAAACATTGAAATTATCTCTAACAGGGAACCAGCGGTTTCTTTCCTACGCACACGTTCAAAGAAGGATTCTCAAAAATAAACAGGACAGAGACAACTCAAATGTCCACGAACTGAAAATACAATGTGTTATCCTTAGAACAGAATGGTTTAGGTAAACTATAAAAAGGAATGGACTAGGCCAGTAACAGGGCTCAGTGAATAAAGGTGCCTGCCACAAAGCCTGACAAACTGGGTTCAATCCCTGGGACTCACAGTAGAAGAGAACCGACTCCTGAAAGTTGTCCTCTGATCTCTACATATATGCCATGGTACCCCTTCACCCAAATAATAAATACATAAATAAACGTAAAGCTTTATTGTTAGAAAACAATGGGCCTCTAACACAAGATATAAGCACAGACAAACCTAGAAACACCACACAAAGCAAAAGAAGCCAGGAAAAGGAAAAACAAAAACCAAAATTCTACTGCTCATGATCTCTGTGATGTGAAGCCCAGTGGAAGACAGTTGGTGACTGCCCAGATATCTCTGGGCAGTGAGCAATGAGGCAGAAACAGGGCTGGGGTACAGTGGCAAAGGGGCTGTTGATTTGTGGGGGCTTAAGCTGCGGGTGATAATGATGCTCTAAAATTGTATGCCCGAGGTATCAGTGGAATGTTCTGCAAGCTACCCCACACATTCACTTTAAGTGGGCAAATGGCTCTCGGTGTGTCTTATATCCCAACACCACTATTTTATCCAAACACTTCCCATGGATCAAAGGTCTTTGTGTAATAGCTGAAATCACCAGAGAGAAATACAGGGAAACACTTCAAAGTGTAGGCCCAGGTAGCCATTTTCTGAAAGGATATAGCAAGAATGAGACAGAATGGGAAGCAAACTGTGTTGGCTACTCATCAAACAGAATTATAGCCAAATGAATAAAGGGGTACAATATGAGGCATCAAGAGAATAAATAATCCATTCAACAAATAGACAGATGAATTTATGAGGCTGTTATCAGAGAAGCAAGTACAAATGGCCAGTCTATGAAAAAAATGTTCACTATCCTTAGCAACAGAGGAAATGCAAGTCACCACTATACCGAGACTCCATCTCATCCCTGTCAAAATAGTCACCATCAAGAAAACAAACAACAACCCTCTGCACATATGTAGCAGATATGCAGCTTGGTCTTCATGGGGGCCCCAACAACTAGAGTAGGGGCTGTCCCTGAATCTGTTGCATGTCTGTGGATCCCTTTCCCCTAACTGGGCCACCTTGTCTGGCCTCGGTGGGAGAGGATGCGCGTCGTCCTGCAGTGACTTGATGTCCCAGGGTGGGGTGATATCAAAGGGGCCTCCCACTTCTCAGAGGAAAAGAGGAAGAGGGAACGGGGGAGGAGCAGTGGGAAGAGGGACTGTGAGGAGGAGGGGTGGATATTTGGATACTAAGTGAATAAATAAATTAATGAGAAAAAGAAAACAAACAACAAATGCTTATGCACGTGTGTTGGGGTGGGGATGGGGATGCAGATTTGTCTAGCCAGTATAGAAAAGAGCATAAAGCTTCCTCAAAAGAACTAAAATGAAAAGTACTACATGATCCAACTCTACCACTCCTGGGATAAATATCAGACGGACTCTAAGTCAGCACATGATACTCATGTTCACTGAAGCGATACTGAGAACAGCCAAGAACACCTGTAATCCCAGCACTTGAAAGGTAGAGGCAGGAGGATCGGGAGTTCAAATGAATGAATGAATGAATGAATGAATGAATGACTGTGAGTTATGGAGTCTGCCTAGGCACCTTTCAGTGGGTGAATGGATAAAGAAAAACATGGTATATACTAACAGAGTATGATTCAGTCATGAAGAATGAAATTGTGTCATTTTCAGGAAAAGGAACAGAAACAGAGATCATGTTAATAGTCATGTAAGTGAAATAAGCCACACATTTTCTCTCAGACGTGGACTCTATATTTTAAAATAAAGATATTAAGGTAAAGTGAGACCATCTGGGAAGGAGTGAGACCAGAAGGAGAAGAGAAGCCAACACTAGGAGGTGGTAGAGGGTGAATTTGAATGGTGTCTCCTACACATGAAAGAAAATGTCCTGATAAAATCCAGTGTTTTGTACAAGTCACAATGTTGAAAAGTTAACATAAGCCTACAAAGAAAGGAGGGAAGAAAGAAAACGAAGGAAGGAAGGAGAGGGGGGAAAGAAAGAGAGAGAGTGATTGAGAATAGTTGAGTGTGTGTGGGCGGATCGCAAGTATTCCAAGAAGTGGGGGGAACGTATCTTAGTTGATATGGTTCTTCTCTGCCATGAACCCCTTCCAATGACCGCAGCTGACAGGCAGGGAGAAGCCAACATTTAGGTGACACCGTGGTCCCACAATACAGAAAACACAGAAAGGGGATCTTTCTATTTATTTGAATGCCACAGGTTACTACTTTGTCACCAGTTCTCAAAGCCTTTCCCGGAGGTATGTCACTCAACAAAGTTGCCAGGTGGTCCAAGCAAGACTCCAGTCTTTTCTGTCCCTTCAGCAGGTGAAATGGTGGACCATGGCTGGCTCTGACCATCTGTGAGCAGGTCTATTTGCTCAAAACAAGCTTCTCACTTGTGGAGTGTTTTGGACAAAAACACTGTCTGGACACTGAGAGCATGGATGGGGATAGTTAGAAACAGCTGTGGTCTCTGCAGCGACCTCCAGCCCCTGTAAGCAGCAGGCTTCAAAACCGATCACCGCAAAAAGCAGCATGTCAGAGTGTGGGAAAGGTCCCAGGCTTAAGGAGTCAAATGATGTGTTTACATCTGAAGCCAAAAGGAACAAAATTGCCAAGAAAAGAATCAGATGGAAAAGTCTCTGACAGCAACACTGAGGAGTAAGGATGTTAACGAGTAAGCCAGCGGTCAGCCCACCAACCTGGAGATATTTGTGGGACGAGGAGTGAGAGCCGTGGAGGTGGGACACAGACTTTGGACTTTGGACCAGACACCAGGATATTTTAGTTGTTTATGCTGTCTTCCCCACTTGAGTCTCTCCCATTCTCCATCACCAAGCAAAGCCCTACCTATCAGAAATTCCTCCTCCATGGCACAATGATGCCTTCCGTGTTCTCAGAATGAGGACTGAATGGTGCCTTCTCCAAGCCAGCTTCTGGGCTGGGCCCAGTGGTGAGCCAAGAGACAATGTGCTTATCTGGGCCAGCCTACCTTGGCCTCTCCTATAGTAGGCCTGGGTCACAAGGTGCACCAGCACACCTGGCAAGAAAACTCCTTAGCAGAGGTGTAGCCAGCAGAGCTGGGCAGTTATATGATGACCAGGGGTGTAAGAAAAAGTATGCACTCTAGCAAATTCATCTGTAATCCTTTCAAAATCTACTTTGGGGTTCATCTTGTTTTCAAGTGAGACACTTTCAGACATACTTAATTACGTTATCTTCCTTCTAAATGGAGGTATAACCAAAGGGCTAGAGCTGTAGCTTGGTGGTAGAGCACTTAAACCCAGCATGAGCAAGCTTGCCCTGGCTTCAATCCTCAGCACCACAGAGTTTTTTTTCTTAATAAAGGAAAGGCATACATTTTTTTTTGTTTTGATATAAATAAAATACTTTTAGCAGACTTTTCAGGTTTTGAACATTTTATATTTTGTTGTCCTGGAGTTAAGAGAATTGATCATTTAAGAAATGATACATCAAAGCTGGGCATGACAATGTGGGTAGTCAATCCCAGAACTCAGGAAGCAGAGGCAAGCGGACCTCTGTGAGTTTGAGGCCAGTCTGATATATGTGGGATAAAGAGGAGGAGGGGCATCACCACATATATAGATATAGGACTGCATATTTGTTTTTGAGAGAGGATCTCATTTAGCCCAGGCTGGCCTTGAACTTGTTATGTAGCATAGTATGGCTTCCAATTTCTGATCCTCCTCCTCCACATCCTGAGTGCTAAGATCACCCATGTGCACCACCACACCAGTTTATATGGTACTGGGGATGAACCCATGGCTTCAAGATGCTCAGTGAACATTCTACCAACTGAGCTACAACCCCAGCTCCCAGAGCTCCAATTCCACCAGCAAAGGCTTCAGTAAGGAAGCCAACTCTCTGTCCTGCCCTTGTTTGTCTGATATAAGAGCTGTGTTTCAAGCTATCCATCAAGGACACAAGGCCTTGAGCAGGAAAGGCCCTCAGGACCCTGCCAGAACCTGGAAATAGAATAGTCTATCTTTGTTCATGGCATAGGGAGAACAGGGGTAGTGGGTAAAATGTTTCTTTCCTATACAGAGGAGGAGTTTATGCTACAGAGGACAGTGCAGAATGAAACAATGCACTTGTGTGTATCCCCTCTGGAGGTTCTGGGAAGAGTCCAGGTTCCCAGCCTTGGAGGCTCAGGTCCAGGTAAATTGTTAGCTGGGAGCTGCTATGTAGCTCATTGCTGGCTCACCCATAATCCAATCTGGCAAGCCAAGGGCACAGGGGCGTGGGCGCAGAGTGGAGATTTTTAATCCGGACACAGGGCTCTTCCCCAGCCAAGGACAGGAGGGTAGTCTTAGGGATCCAGCATTTCTAAGGAAGCAATAGATGCTATTGGGATGTACTGACTACGGGAGGCAGTAAGGTTTGTTTGAAAGAGTATGTTATGGTTGAATATGGCACATCACCAGGAACTTGCGGGTTGTATCCTCAGTCCCACACCAACTGCGTTATTTTAGCAGATGGTAGGAGCTCAAGGAGATGGAAGAAGTACTCAGTGGAAGGAGGGATACCTTTGAAAGTTTTGTCTTCTTCTTGGCCCCTCTCTTCCTCCCCATCCCCTTCCTGTTTGCCTTGAGCTAAGTGGCTTCTGCCACATTCTCCTACCAGCAGGGTCACCATAAGACCAGAATTAACAGAGCCTGGGAATGTGCAGTGACAGTTTTAAAACCACAAGCTGCTGAAAGAAGTCTTCCCTCTCCTATGTTGCTTACATCTGGTATTTTGTTACAGTGTTGAGTACATTGGGCAAGAAATGATTTCCCAAGTAGAGGTGACACCAGTCAGCTCAGTTCAAGGTCACCAGCAAGCTTGGCTTTATAGACTCACTTGACTTTAACACTTCTCTTCAAGGGTCATGGTCTCATGTGAGCATTTTACACAACTTGCCCTTTTGTTTAGGTAAGTATTACATAGTTTAATGTCACTCACTAAAGACTTACCTAAAGTGACAGTAGAGGTGATTTGCCACTCCTGAATTACAATGGCTTTGGATTCTATAGCAGCAAGCCACAGACCATTAACTAACTAACACCCTATATAGTGACTGCTGTTGCTAAGCTGTGAGGTTTGGTGGATGATGTGAGTTACATACATTTTTAGCATGAGATATTTTCTATTTACAGAGAGCTTATCTACTGGGATGGTCACTCAGGCTGCTACTGATACACTCTTCTATCCCCTAGACTCCCGTCTCCCCTTCCTTCTCTTCTCTTCTCTTCTCTTCTCTTCTCTTCTCCTCTCTTCTCTTCTCTTCTCTTCTCTTCCTTTCTCCCCCCCTCCCTCCCTCCCCCCCCCTCTCTCTCTCTCTCTGATATTCACAACCACTGAGCTATCTCTCCAGCACCAAGCTGTCTCCCTTGCCCCCAGTTTTCAATGTTGTGTGCACATGTAGCTCCATGTTTGAGGGGAGGCTTACATGTATGCACATGCACATGGAGGCTGGACAATCTTAGGTGGCATCCTCAGGAACACTACCCACCAATTTTGAGACAGAATCTCACTGGCTTGGAGCACAGCAAGTAGTCCAAACTGCCTGTATTGAACCCTATGGCTTCTCCTGTGTGTGCCTCTCCAGTGCTGGCATTATGAGCATGAAGCAGCATGGCCAGCAGTTTTACACATGCTGTGAGTGTCAAACTCAGGTTCTCCCAAGAGATTTACTGACTGAGCCATCACCCTTAACCCCAGTACTTACCTTTAAGTGGCCAATGACAAACTTGTGGACAATGTGGTTCCATATGGATTTCTTATAGACAGAAAGGTGGCCATAATCATGTTGCAGCCATCCAGCTTGGGCCTGGGGAAAGAGGGCTGTGGTTGTCATTGCAGCATCAGCAAATAGCCAGGAGGCATCTGAGAGGTGGGGATGTTCAAATGATGCTCAAGGATGTCAGGCCTCACCTGAGAGGTAGCAAGGACAAAGGCTGTGATGAGGGTGGGGATCCAGCCATTGCCGAAGTATGCGAGGATGAACCAGGCAATGCTTTCCATGACGACGATGTGGGACAGGAGGAGAAAGAAGAACAGGTGGTTGGTTTTGAAAAGATTCATGTCCTCAGCAGTCTTCTTCAGGGCCCTGAAGTCCTCGGTGATCTGAGACTGGTGAGCAAGAGACACCACAGAAGAGAATCAGCCACTAGACCTCTCAAGGGGACATGTGTTTGAACACAGTATACACTACAGCTGTGGCAAGCACCTTAAACTGTGTGAGCCCAGCTACTAGGTGCTGCAATGGTCACCATTACTACAGACATGATACATCTGGGTAAGTGGCAGAGGAGAAATCAGATTGGAAAGTGTGCATTTTTAATCATACTCAGTGAATTAAATCAGTCTCAGAAAGGCAACTAGCTCGTGTTTTCCCTCAGTTCCCTCGTGGATTCTAGAGTTCATACATATATGATGACTTCTATGTACAGGTGACACTAAACTAGGGGTGAAACTGTGTGAGGACAAGCAAGACTAACAGGGCTGGAGAGATGGCTCAGCAGTTAAGAGCGCTGGCTGCTCTTCCAGAGGATCAGGGTTTGATTCCCAGCACCCAGATGGTGGCTCTCAACTGTCTGTAACTCTAGTCACAGGGGCATACAACACCCTTTTCTGGCCTCCAAGGGATGCATATGATGGAAAGACATACATGCAGGCAGAACATTCAAATACATAAAATAAAAATAAAGGTTAAAAAATGTAAAGGACCAAAGGAGGGCTTAGGAAGAGAGTGGAGGGTTATGGGACAACATATCTAAGTACACTGTGTTTACTCAAGCATGTGTGTGTGGAAATGGCCTCCTATAGCTGTAGTAATAATAGCAATAATTAATAATAAGCGTCATGTATCTTCTACACCAGTGTTCTCAGGAGCATTACTTCCAACAGGCAGAAAATAGGAACAGGAGCCAGAGCAATGGCTCAGTGGTTAAGAGTGATTGCAGCTCTCACGAGGTGGGGGGTGGGGTGGGGGCTGGTTCTGTTCCTGGCACCCATGTAGGGCCACTCACAGCTGCCTATAATTCCAGCTCCAGGGACCTAAGGTCTTTGGGCTTCCATGAACACCCATATGTACTCCCCTCTCCCTCTCCCTCTCCCTCTCCCTCTCCCTCTCCCTCTCCCTCTCCCTCCCTCCTTCTC